AAGAACTAATTCAGAAATATAAGCTCTTCAAAGACTGTCTGCGCAAAGCCCCAAAGTAATCTGGGAGCTGGAAATTGTGCCTTGAAGAACCAGGCGGCTGGAGAGGACCGGGCCATCAGCAGGAGAAGCAGTTAACACTTCCCGTGTTTTGTGGGCGCAGCCTCCAGATGTCCAGCCCTTCAGTTCCTTTGGCGGGGAAGGAGGAGGGGGCAGAGGTGGGGTCACAGGGTAGTGTGACCTGGACAGAAAGGAAACCTTTGGTTCAAAGAAGTTGCCTCCAGCCTGCTTTTTTGCTTCCATGGCTCCATGCGACCGCCTCCTTCGCTCTGCTGTCGGGCCTGGGCTGAGAGGCCCCTGGCACCTGCTGCATAGTCCTTTCTTCCCATCCTGGCTGTCCTGGGGCCTGGGCTATGCCTGGCATGAGCCTCCTGCTGTCCTGGGGGGCCTGTGCCCTGCCCCTCTCTCGCCCCATCTGCCCTGGGCACTGGCAGCTCCCATCACTCTTCCCTACCACTGCCCAGTTAAGCTTGGCAGTGCCAAGCATTTGAAGTCTCCACCTCGCCATGATTCCTGGCCGCCTGAGACGAGCCCGCCCCCTGCCCCAACTGCCACCTCCCCTGTGACCAGCCTCAGGGTCCCATGTGGGGACTCCTTGAAGCCCCTCGGCCTGGCCCTTGGCACCCACTGCATCTGGGATCTGGTAGGCCGGGCCCATGTCTCCTCCTCCCTCCTCCCCAGGGTACCTGGTACCAGCCTGGGGAATTTCTGCTAGTGGCCTGACTGGTTGTCCAGGAAGCTGCTCTCTGGGCTTCTCAGGGTGACCCAGTATCTTCCTGAGCAGTGTGCCTGTCACAGCCACCTCCCTCCCTTCAAGCACGGGAACAGGCACAACTGGTGAGGCCCCTGCCTCCTTCAGCCCAGCGTCAGGCTTCAGGGGGTCGGGAGGGGGCCTCCCTCTAAACACGTGGCCTTCTGGGGCGACACGCCTGGCTCCCAGTCTACTGAACTCTGTCCTGCTCCCTGCAGCTGCACCTCTGCTCCCCCAAGTTCCCAGTGGGTGCTCCAGACATGGTGGAGACGGACTCCTGGATATGCCCCAGGAGGAACCCCGGGACTGGGTGCCAGGCCCCCTCCAGCTCAGACTGGCTGGAGCCCCTGGCCCCAGCTGCCTGCCTGGGGCATATCCTAGATGGCTGCAGTAGGAGTTGGGACAAGAGGCAGGCCCACAGTCACCACCGCCCAGGTGTGCCAACGTTACAGGCCAAGTGCTGGCACGTCTTGCTCAAGATCAAGGTTCTCTGATGATATCACTTCCTGGAACAGGGATGACCATCTAGGTTCCCTCCCATCATGACCACCCTTCACTCTTGACTGAGCCTGGGGGGCTGGGAAAGCCCTGGAGCCCAGGGTCCGAGGCGCTAGGCTTCACCCTGCTCCTGTGGTCCTAGAGCTGTGGGTACCACTGGGGCAGTCCCCTACCCCAGCCCTTACGTCGCTCGTCTTCTAGCGAACAACTTAGGAAGGAACAACTTAGCCAAAGCCTACATGGCTCACAGGGCTGGGCCTCGTGCTTGCTTTCCCCGTAACCCGGAAGCCTCTGCTAAAGGTTCTTTACACAGTACGGATCACTGCACCCGTGAGGGAGATCCCATTTCCCCTTCCTGGTGGAAGACGAGCCCATAAGGTGAGGAAGTTGGTCACCGGTCACTAGAGTGGTACTAAGGCCCCATCCTTAGAGTGTACCCTTCCCCTTCATGGCCCAGTGTGGTATGTGCAGGCGCCTCTTTCCCACTTTGAGCTCGCTTTATCCTTACCAGGGGCAGCCTGGTCTCCTGTGGCAGGGGCCTAGTGCCTTTGTGGGAAGTCCCCCAGCATGGGGCTCGGTATGGAACCCAGGTTGGCCAGGCTCAGCTGCTATAGACTTACCTTGCTCAGAGTTGGAGGCCGGGCCACGTAGAAGGCTCTGGCTTCCTCCTGTGCTTGTGACAACACGTCCTCAGCCCACAGCCGGGTGAGAGCCTGCTTTCCAATCTATAAACATGGGGCGTGTGTCCCGGTGGCTGTGAGCGAGCAAGGGGGTGGCGAGCCGGCCGCACAGGTCCTGCGGCCTCGGGCCTCCATGTTGCCTAACAGGTGGCTGGGGGCGGGCCACGGCCACTGATTAAAGGCTGCCTGGAGCAGCCCGTGTGGAGACAGGTGTCTAGCAGCCCAGGAAGCCAGCCAGAGGCCGCCCCAGGTAAGCCAGCGTGGCCAGGTTGGTGAAGACAGCCGCGGGGAGCCCAGAGGCGGGAGGAGGCCAGTTGGGGGCCAGTACCTGTGTGTCAGGGAGGCTGGTGATGACCGAGGCTTTCTTGGGTCCCTGCTTCCTGGCAGCTGACCCTAGGAGTGCAGACCCAGGCTGCTATGCCTGAGCCTCCCGGCCACGGTGTCTCAGTGTAGACGTCATTTTGGGTTGTACCTCCCCATGTCCCCGATGACATGGGCCTGGAGGCGGGATGCAGAGGCCTCTGGGCCAGGGTCTGAGCACGTCAGGACTTCCTTTGGTTGTTCGCTAGGTGGTAGTGGAGATGGCCATGGAGGGGCTGGGGGACAGGACAGAATGGAGGGGGTGATGAATCCCAAGCAGACCTCATCCTGGACAGAAGTAGTAGACCCTGGTCACTGGGTCCTAGCTCTGGAGGCCCCCAAGCAGTGAGCCTGGATGTGGGCCTCAGGAATTGCTCCTAGAGCTTCAAGTCCAATGGGGTGGGGTGGGAGTGACAAGAAATAAACCCAAAGGGGTTGGATCCTTGGCCACCAGGACGCCCGTGGGTGGCTGGGCCCCGGCAACCCCATCTCTGGCCCTCAGGTTTTGTGCCTCTTGCTCTGGCAGCTTTAGGCATCACTGTCCCCGTGTGAACATCACCATGTCCGAAGTGCCCCGGGCAGAGACTTTTGTCTTCCTGGACCTGGAAGCCACTGGGCTCCCCAATGTGGACCCTGAGATCGCCGAGATCTCCCTGTTTGCTGTCCACCGCTCCTCCCTGGAGAATCCGGAGCGTGACGAGGCTGGCACCCCTGTGCTGCCCCGGGTCCTGGACAAGCTCACGCTGTGCATGTGCCCAGAGCGCCCCTTTACTGCCAAGGCCAGCGAGATCACGGGCCTGAGCAGTGAGGGGCTGGCCCAGTGCCGGAAGGCCGGGTTCAACAGTGCCGTGGTGCGGACGCTGCAGGCCTTCCTGAGCCGCCAGGAGGGCCCCATCTGCCTCGTGGCCCACAATGGCTTTGATTATGACTTCCCCCTGCTATGCACAGAGCTGCGGCGCCTAGGCGCCCACCTGCCCCGGGACACCATCTGCCTGGATACGCTGCCGGCGCTGCGGGGCCTGGACCGCGCCCACAGCCACAGCACCCGGGCCCAGGGCTGCAAGGGTTACAGCCTGGGCAGCCTCTTCCGCCGCTACTTCCAGGCAGAGCCCAGCGCGGCGCACTCGGCCGAGGGCGACGTGCACACTCTGCTCATGGTCTTCCTGCACCGTGCTGCCGAGCTGCTCGCCTGGGCTGACGAGCAAGCCCGCAGCTGGGCTCACATCGAGCCCATGTACATGCCTCCCGATGGCCCAAGCCTTGAGGTCTGAGCGACGGGGGCTTGATGACACTACCACCCAGGGAGACGAGGCCCACTTCCTGTGCCATGGACTACTCTAGCCTTGACCGTTCATTCGGACTCTGAGGCCTGGAGGGGGCGCCCGACCAGTGCCTCGTTGCCTCTCCCCGATCCTCTTACCTGGACATCCTCTTAGCCGTGCACCCACCAGGCCTCCCTGGGCCTTGGCCTGCCTAGCCCCACAGCCTCACCCCGGCCCACGATCCAGTGGAGTGTGCCGCTGCGGGCCCCCACCCCTCACCCTGTCTTGCAATAAATATTGCCAACTGCTCACCAGCCGACTCTCCGATCACGCCCCAAAGTGCCGCCCAGAGGGGCAGGCAGGGATCTCAGCCGAGGGGCAGGGACGAGCCCCTCAAGGCTGCCCTCTTGTGGCCGATCCCTGCAGTGCGCCCAGCGGTGGGGGAATTCCGGAAGTGAGGTGGGGGGGAGACGTCAGTGATCACAGGCTGTGGCTCCTGAACCACGGGAGGCCCTTTGTTGTCACCTCAGAGACACAAGAAATGAGTGGACAGGGACTCAGGGACATGTGTAGTGGCCCCGAATCTGTGCCTGGGAGGGAGATGGAATAGGGAGCTGCAGCCTCAGCCTCTGGAGGCTTAGGCTTTCCCAGCCAGGGGAGCCGGGCCCACGAGCTGACCGCCACGTGGGTCAAAGCCTGGCTCCAGCACTTGCCCCTTGTGGGACCCTGAGCTCCTTCCTTCCCTGGAGCCTCTGTTCCTACTCTGCAACAGGATGACATGATACGATAGGTTGGCAGAACTGCACGGTGCCTGGCACGCTTGGGGCGCTGGGGAGTAGGGGAGGTGCCCCAGCCGCAGGCAGGCACATACATGAAAAGGGCCCACTGGCATGCAGGGTGAGGGGTACGTAGGGGGCTCCAGGCTGCCCGGAGGCAGGCTGGGCTGCACAGCTGCCCCGAGGCATGTAGGAGAGGTGGGGTAGCTGAGGTAGTGAGGGTGACATCTAGGAATGAGTTTGCCCTGGGCCCTGTGTCCCTCATGGCATGGCCCAAAGAAGACCATGAGGCTGCTGTGTGGGAAAAGGCCACTTCTCAGCAGCTGCTTCGACTGGGCTTCGGGGAGCCAGCTAACTTGTCTCCAGAGCTCTGCCTGTGTCACCAATCAATGGAGCAAGGCAGGGGTGGAGACAGAGAGGGCAGGCGAGAAGGGATGGGGTGGGTGGGGTGGCCACGCCTGAGAGTGACTCTCATGAGCAAAGCCTTGAGTCTTGAGCCAGCCAGGCCCGTCTGGGGAACCCTAAGTAGGTCAAAGTGACTAGACCCACTATAATGTGCAAGGTGGCAGAATGGTGAGGCCAGAACACAGGCAGTGGCCACGTCAGGACATCCTCATTGCCTGGGCCAGAGGGTCTGGGCTGGCCCCGAGGGCGATGGGGAACGCAGAGGGGTATAAGCAGGGTCAGGGTAAGATCTGGTTTGTTCTTCCCATACTTCTCAGGCTGCTATGTGGAAAAGGGGCTAGAGCAGACTTGGAGCGGGAGGACGGCAACCTAGGGAGAAAGGAATAGGGGGTTGGGGCCTGGCCAAGGACAGAATGGCAGGGGTGGGGAGGGTGCGCAGTAAGGGCAGAACAGCAGGAGTGTGGTCCACGCACCGCTGAGCTTCCTGACAAGGACTAATTGACTCTCTGCCCTGGGAGAGCGCCAACCAGCCGGGGTGAGGCCTCAGGGCAGGAGCCAGGAGCTGAAAGAGTGGGGGGCATCATTAGGATCAAGGCAGCCAGGGCCCCTCAGATCCCGTGGTGCTCAGGCAGGACCAAGTCCCCTTTATCTGCCCAAGCTCCAGGCCACTAACTCACTCAGCGGGCAAGCCAGGAGGGGCTGGACTCCAGGCTCTGGTGGGCAGATGGACAGCCCCATCTGTGGCTACCGCCACTGCCCCAGACTGGTGTCCAGTTTCATGCCCCTGATCTTTTGCAGACCCAGGTGCCTGTCCGGGTCTCTCCTGGGCTCATGGGGGCCTGGCCTTGGGTACCCTCTCCAAGCTTTACGCCTTTTGTGCTGCGCAGACAGGCTGGGGCCTGTCCTGCTGTCCTACTGCTGTCTGAAAGCAGCGATGTCCTGAAAAATGGGTGACAGTGGCTTTCTGGGAAAGGAAATGTAAACCTCTCTCTCTCATACAGAAATGAATGTTTATTATAAATTTTGCGGATGTAAAGGATGTGAACACACAATTCACAAATAATGAAATCTCCAATATATGCAAAATATACAATCACATTTACAAGACACTGCTTATAAATTCCATATGGCCAATTGATTCTCACAAGATGCTTTCGTTGACTTTTGCCAAACTCCTGTATCTGTACCCGACCCACGATTGCAACTGCTGAATAAGTGTGGTTTCCATGTAAATACTGGTTGATATTTTCATTTATCTTAATGAGCAAGACGAAAATGAAATGACAAAGATGTATGTCAGAACTTCACACATTCATTGGTGACATGAGTGACTCCTTTGCTGAAGTGGATAATAGCTTTTGATATTGGGAAAGTCTTTCTCCCTTCCTTCCTTCTTTCCTTCCTTGCTTGCTTTTTTTTCCTATTCGCAATGTAATGAGTATAGACTCACGTCTGCAGAATGAACCAAACAATAATAGATCAGGCTCTGATTCATGTGCTGAATGAATCAGCGTGTGCTGATTCCCATGGTGTAAATACTTCCTCCCGGCCAATTTCAGGCTATCACATGATGCCATCGAATGTGAAATTGGGAAGACATTCCCAGCAGCAGACTGTAACAGATTCCCACCAAACGGACATGACAGGTAACAATAAAATGTGGTGAAATGAGACATGAGTTTTGAGCATCTTCTCTGTTTTTAATATAATTGAATTCTTCATAACGGTGCTGTTTAACTCAGCTCGCAGAACTTCTGAACGTTTAACATCTATTAGCCTGGCAAAAATACAAAAGACTGACCACACCAAGTGTTGGCGAAGATGTGGGAGAACTGGAACCCTCAAACACTGCTGGGGGGATGTAAGATGGTACAACCACTTTGGGAAGCACTTGGGCTGTGTCTTACAGTGTTAGACACACACCTACCATAATGGCCCCCCAATTCCACTCCTAAGTATTTATTTACCCAAGAGAAATGACTTAATGTGTCTACACGAAGACTCACATACAACTATGTTTGGCAGCTTCATTCATAACAGCCCCAAACTGGGAACAACCCAAATGTCCCTCAGCAGGTGAACAGTGGGACAAACCGAGGCACGTCCATACCGTGGAGCGCTGCTGAGCACTGAGACACACCGCAGTTTGTGGGAGACTCACAGTGATTATGCCATGTGATAGGTGCCAGACCCAAAGAGCCAACTCTACTGCTGCAGCTTGCCCTGGCCAGCCGCCTGCCCCTTGTCAAGATGAGTCACTGGCTGATAAGCTGCATCAGTATCGACTGATGGGGACATGGTTGTGGTCAGGAGCATACCTGGGGGACACCTGACGCAAGCCAGTTGAAACCAGAATTATCCATGCAGAGGAATAAGTACCAAAATAACAAGGCCAGGAGCATTTCCAGCTTGTCTTTGTGCAGGAGACAACGTGACTAGGACAAAATCTGCACCAGGCCTTGCAAAAGCCTGGAACAGAAAGCTGGAGACGTGAAATACACCAGCCCTCCCGCATTGCTTCCACAGAGAAATAGCTGGGTATTGGTGTTTGCTGGAACCAACACCTGGCTTTGTACGGAATTCGTGCAGTAACTCATGAGTATTCAAAGAGAGTTTCAGATTGACGACCCCAGCCCCTCCTCCCCCCAAGAGCAGTTTCAGCATGGCGGGGACCCCGCTTTCTGCACCTCAGCTCATGCACACACGCGCCCTACACTGTCACACACACACACACACACACACACACTCGCTCTCAAGTCCCCTCTCCTCCTCCACCACTCACAGGTGCACAAACACAGCCCACACAGACGCCACCCCCGTTCCCACATGCTCGCTCCCCCCACATCCTTACGTGCACCTCATTCACACGCACTCACTTACGATTTTACATAAATGAGATCTGGGCAGATGCTGCTTTCAAAGAAATGACAAGCACCTTTTTTTGATTTTTGGTTGCAGAGTCTATAAAGTCTTTCGTCTAGGTGTTCAAGTCCATTGCCATGATTCTTCCCATTTTTCCAGTATTTGTAGTCACATCTCTTTTCTCATTTATACATTTCATCGGTCTTTTCAAAGGGAAAAAAAAACAGGATTTTGATTTCTTTCTCCTTTTCTTTTGTTTTCTGCTTCATTAACTTCAGCTTGTATCTTTATTAATTCCATCTATTTTCTTTTGGTTTAGTTTTTGGTCTTTCTTTTTTCTTCTAACTTCTTAAGAGGAAGACTTATAACCTCTTTTTTCATCTTCCATCTTGAACAACTAAGGTGCTCAAAGCCTGCAATCTCCCCCTGAACGACATTTTCCTGTCTCGTATGTTTGCTAGTTACCTTTCTTTGCTTTGCATTAGGCAAGGTTTCTAATTTTGCTTTTCATTTCCTCGCCAATCTAATGCTCGCATAGTAGAATTTATCTTAATTTCACAGTCATCACAAGCTTGTGGTCATCTTTTCTTATGTATTTCTAATTGTATTGGATAATGATCTGAGGATGTGTTGCTTAAGGTCATTTGGAGGCTGTATTACTTTTGTAGAGGACGCAATTCTGTGACATTCTATTAAAATAGCCCATTATAATTGCCTTTTATTGAGCTCTTCCTGCACAGCGGGTAGCTTTTCTTGATGCAGTTTGTTGCTGTGTGTTCGCATTACAGCTCTGTGACTGGATTGGATTGGGTAGGGGTCTCCTGAGAAAGAGAACCGGTAGGATGCATATGTACGGAATTGGTTAACACTCTTGTGGAGTCTGGCAAGTCTGAAATCTGCGAGATGGGCCAGCAGCTGGAGACTCAGGGAAGGGCTGCGGCTTGAGTCCAAAGGTCGTCTGGAAAC